TTATTAAATACAGTGGGGAAAAAAAGTATTTAGTCAGCCACCAATTGTGCAAGTTCTCCCACTTAAAAAGATGAGAGGCCTGTAATTTTCATCATAGGTACACGTCAACTATGACAGACAAAATGAGAAAAAAAAATCCAGAAAATCACATTGTAGGATTTTTTATGAATTTATTTGCAAATTATGGTGGAAAATAAGTATTTGGTCAATAACAAAAGTTTCTCAATACTTTGTTATATACCCTTTGTTGGCAATGACACAGGTCAAACGTTTTCTGTAAGTCTTCACAAGGTTTTCACACACTGTTGCTGGTATTTTGGCCCATTCCTCCATGCAGATCTCCTCTAGAGCAGTGATGTTTTGGGGCTGTCGCTGGGCAACCCGGACTTTCAACTCCCTCCAAAGATTTTCTATGGGGTTGAGATCTGGAGACTGGCTAGGCCACTCCAGGACCTTGAAATGCTTCTTACGAAGCCACTCCTTCGTTGCCCGGGCGGTGTGTTTGGGATCATTGTCATTCTGAAAGACCCAGCCACGTTTCATCTTCAATGCCCTTGCTGATGGAAGGAGGTTTTCACTCAAAATCTCACGATACATGGCCCCATTCATTCTTTCCTTTACACGGATCAGTCGTCCTGGTCCCTTTGCAGAAAAACAGCCCCAAAGAATGATGTTTCCACCCCCATGCTTCACAGTAGGTATGGTGTTATTTGGATGCAACTCAGCATTCTTTGTCCTCCAAACACGACGAGTTGAGTTTTTACCAAAAAGTTATATTTTGGTTTCATCTGACCATATGACATTCTCCCAATCCTCTTCTGGATCATCCAAATGCACTCTAGCAAACTTCAGACGGGCCTGGACATGTACTGGCTTAAGCAGGGGGACACATCTGGTACTGCAGGATTTGAGTCCCTGGCGGCGTAGTGTGTTACTGATGGTAGGCTTTGTTACTTTGGTCCCAGCTCTCTGCAGGTCATTCACTAGGTTCTGGGATTTTTGCTCACTGTTCTTGTGATCATTTTGACCCCACGGGTCAAAATTGCTCCCACAGTTGATTTCTTCAAACCAAGCTGCTTACCTATTGCAGATTCAGTCTTCCCAGCCTGGTGCAGGTCTACAATGTTGTTTCTGGTGTCCTTTGACAGCTCTTTGGTCTTGGCCATAGTGGAGTTTGGAGTGTGACTGTTTGAGGTTGTGGACAGGTGTCTTTTATACTGATAACAAGATCAAACAGGTGCCATTAATACAGGTAACGAGTGGAGGACAGAGGAGCCTCTTAAAGAAGAAGTTACAGGTCTGTGAGAGCCAGAAATCTTGCTTGTTTGTAGGTGACCAAATTTTTGGTGGGATTTTTTTTCTCAATTTGTCTGTCATAGTTGACGTGTACCTATGATGAAAATTACAGGCCTCTCATCTTTTTAAGTGGGAGAACTTGCACAATTGGTGGCTGACTAAATACTTTTTTTCCCCACTGTACTTTTTTCTTTACATAGTTGAATGTGCTGACAACAAAATCACACAAAAATTATCAATGGAAATCAAATTTATCAACCCATGGAGGTCTGGATTTGGAGTCACCCTCAAAATTAAAGTGGAAAACCACACTACAGGCTGATCCAACTTTGATGTAATGTCCTTAAAACAAGTCAAAATGAGGCTCAGTAGTGTGTGTGGCCTCCACGTGCCTGTATGACCTCCCTACAACGCCTGGGCATGCTCCTGATGAGGTGGCGGATGGTCTCCTGAGGGATCTCCTCCCAGACCTGGACTAAAGCATCCGCCAACTCCTGGACAGTCTGTGGTGCAACGTGGCGTTGGTGGATGGAGCGAGACATGATGTCCCAGATGTGCTCAATTGGATTCAGGTCTGGGGAACGGGCGGGCCAGTCCATAGCATCAATGCCTTCCTCTTGCAGGAACTGCTGACACACTCAAGCCACATGAGGTCTAGCATTGTCTTGCATTAGGAGGAACCCAGGGCCAACCGCACCAGCATATGGTCTCACAAGGGGTCTGAGGATCTCATCTCGGTACCTAATGGCAGTCAGGCTACCTCTGGCGAGCCCCCCAAAGAAATGCCGCCTCACACCATGACTGACCCACCGCCAAACCGGTCATGCTGGAGGTCATTTTGCAGGGCTCTGGCAGTGCTCCTCCTGCTCCTCCTTGCACAAAGGCGGAGGTAGCGGTCCTGCTGCTGGGTTGTTGCCCTCCTACGGCCTCCTCCACGTCTCCTGATGTACTGGCCTGTCTCCTGGTAGCGCCTCCATGCTCTGGACACTACGCTGACAGACACAGCAAACCTTCTTGCCACAGCTCGCATTGATGTGCCATCCTGGATGAGCTGCACTACCTGAGCCACTTGTGTGGGTTGTAGACTCCGTCTCATGCTACCACTAGAGTGAAAGCACCGCCAGCATTCAAAAGTGACCAAAACATCAGCCAGGAAGCATAGGAACTGAGAAGTGGTCTGTGGTCACCACCTGCAGAACCACTTCTTTATTGGGGGTATCTTGCTAATTGCCTATAATTTCCACCTGTTGTCTATTCCATTTGCACAACAGCATGTGACATTTATTGTCAATCAGTGTTGCTTCCTAAGTGGACAGTTTGATTTCACAGAAGTGTGATTGACTTGGAGTTACATTGTGTTGTTTAAGTGTTCCCTTTATTTTTTTTGAGCAGTGTATATCAATCTCCCAGAGAGGGTGTGTGTGAGGGTATGTATAGAAAGCAATCCATTATGTTACAGCAACCAAAACAACGTGTGTGTTAAAACAAGCAAAAATGCTCATGATTTTACACTTCCAAATAGGTATTTGTCTCTGTCTGAGAGTGCACACACTATTAACTTTGTGTGTGTTGGCTATAGGGCTACATCTGCTGTGTGACATCACACATTCTATATGTACCTATGAGCAAACTCTGAAGCCCTGACTGGGTCTGTTTCCTGCTCTGCCCCTATAGACCAGTGTTATGTAACATGCTACACACACACGTGCACAGCCGGACTCGCACACAAACGTAGCGCGAGCCAAGGGTTAACTACAGCAGGTTTTTACTGTGTGTGCATTGGATAGGTATACGTTGTGCTTTTTTTTTCTTCTATTTGGTTCTTCGTAATGTTCAATTTCTGAGATGTTTTAGTGCAATTAGTGTGGTGCTCTTTTGGCCTTTGTGATGCACAATCAATGCACTATTATTTGGAGTTTCACGTGAATTCACGTCTCCACTGCACATAGACACAATGCATAAGATCACTTACACACAGACTTCTCAATTTTTGCCTCCAGTTCCAAGCAATAACAGCAGTAGGTTTTCCTCAAACTATTCAGAAATGAAGAACCTACTATACAGTGGGGAGAACAAGTATTTGATACACTGCCGATTTTGCAGGTTTTCCTACTTACAAAGCATGTAGAGGTCTGTAATTTTTTATCATAGGTACACTTCAACTGTGAGAGACGGAATCTAAAACAAAAATCCAGAAAATCACATTGTATGATTTTTAAGTAATTAATTTGCATTTTATTGCATGACATAAGTATTTGATACATCAGAAAAGCAGAACTTAATATTTGGTACAGAAACCTTTGTTTGCAATTACAGAGATCATACGTTTCCTGTAGGTCTTGACCAGGTTTGCACACACTGCAGCAGGGATTTTGGCTCACTCCTCCATACAGACCTTCTCCAGATCCTTCAGGTTTCGGGGCTGTCGCTGGGCAATACAGACTTTCAGCTCCCTCCAAATATTTTCTATTGGGTTCAGGTCTGGAGACTGGCTAGGCCACTCCAGGACCTTGAGATGCTTCTTACGGAGCCACTCCTTAGTTGCTCTGGCTGTGTGTTTCGGGTCGTTGTCATGCTGGAAGACCCAGCCACGACCCATCTTCAATGCTCTTACTGAGGGAAGGAGGTTGTTGGCCAAGATCTCGCAATACATGGCCCCATCCATCCTCCCCTCAATACGGTGCAGTCGTCCCCAAAGAATGATGTTTCCACCTCCATGCTTCACGGTTGGGATGGTGTTCTTGGGGTTGTACTCATCCTTCTTCTTCCCCCAAACACGGCGAGTGGAGTTTAGACCAAAAAGCTCTATTGTTGTCTCATCAGACCACATGACCTTCTCCCATTCCTCCTCTGGATCATCCAGATGGTCATTGGCAAACTTCAGACGGGCCTGGACATGCGCTGGCTTGAGCAGGGGGACCTTGCGTGCGCTGCAGGATTTTAATCCATGACGGCGTAGTGCGTTACTAATGGTTTTCTTTGAGACTGTGGTCCCAGCTCTCTTCAGGTCATTGACCAGGTCCTGCCGTGTAGTTCTGGGCTGATCCCTCACCTTCCTCATGATCATTGATGCCCCACGAGGTGAGATCTTGCATGGTGCCCCAGACCGAGGGTGATTGACCGTCATCTTGAACTTCTTCCATTTTCTAATAATTGCGTCAACAGTTGTTGCCTTCTCACCAAGCTGCTTGCCTATTGTCCTGTAGCCCATCCCAGCCTTGTGCAGGTCTACAATTGTATCCCTGATGTCCTTACACAGCTCTCTGGTCTTGGCCATTGTGGAGAGGTTGGAGTCTGTTTGATTGAGTGTGTGGACAGGTATCTTTTATACAGGTAACGAGTTCAAACAGGTGCAGTTAATACAGGTAATGAGTGGAGAACAGGAGGGCTTCTTAAAGAAAAACGAACAGGTCTGTGAGAGCCGGAATTCTTACTGGTTGGTAGGTGATCAAATACTTATGTCATGCAATAAAATGCAAATTATGTGATTTTCTGGATTTTTGTTTTAGATTCCGTCTCTCACAGTTGAAGTGTACCTATGATAAAAATGACAAACCTCTACATGCTTTGTAAGTAGGGAAACCTGCAAAATCGGCAGTGTATCAAATACTTGTTCTCCCCACTGTAGGTACGCAGAGCTTATATCCCCCTGCTTATACCCATCTGTTAACTCCCATTTCCCCAGTGTGACAGTAGTGTGTAACATGGGAGCAACCAGAAAGGGTTCACAGGAGCAGCACAAACTGTCAGCAGGGAACAGGGCAGGTTAACACCACACCCCCACCCTGGCCTAACGGAAAACACAGCAAAGCTCTGGAATGCCATGGTAAAGTTATGTGGGTGTGGGGGCTATTCAGAGAGAGTGTGTGTGGGGGTTGGGAGAGGGTTGGTGTGCCCGTGCGTGCGAGAGAGAGGGAACGAGAGAGGAGACCTATACGTTTACCCCAAACCTGGATCATATAGGTGGGGCGCTGAGCCCCCCCCCTCCCGAGGCTATAGGCATTAGTGACACGTGCCAGCCCAACCCCAACATGTTCAGCTGAAACCAGTTGGAACCAAAGTTCTGGTCAAGAAAAGGGCTGAGGGGGAGCACAGAGTTGTAGAGCTAGCTGCAAGTTGAGGGATGCCTATAGGGAAACGCATTCACCCAAAGTAACTAACATGTCATAAGGGACGTAACTACATATGAGGACTCCATGGTCCGGACCTCTGTAATTTTTTCTAATTTGAGAAAAATGATAAATGTGTACACAAAGAAAATCTATTACAGGTCAACATCTAGAACTATTGTACCCAGCGTTGATCAAAGCTCAGAAAGCTTATATTCTTGATCTGATTGAGTTTTAATTGCGCCTGCCTCTTTGCGAACGAGTGGAATCATGAACAGTGTTTTGTTATGTTCGCCTGCGTCCCCCGGATTTGCCTTAGCAGCACATTCACCATTCTCCCAAATGGCTAACTCCGCTCTCTCGCAGCACATGCAGAGTGCCTGAGACATGAAACAAACTATCCCAGCTTGGGATGGCTCAATTGGGCAACTAGAGACGCTGCTGTTAGTTTGTTACGCTGCTGACAGTCTGTTGGCGAGATGCCGGACAAAAGGCCATTTTAAAACAGTGTCTACAGACATCCCCAAACAAAAACCGATTCTGAGAATGAGTGCACAACTGATAAATAGTCGCTTATACTTTGCCTTCAGAAAGTATTCACACCCCTTGACTTTTACCACATTTTGTTGTTACAAAGTGGAATTAAAATTGATTGAATTGTCTTTTTTTTTGTCAACAATCTACACAATACTCTGTAAAAGTTCAAACTTTCTTTTTAATTAATGGAAAATAAAACACTCATATATTTTGATTAGATAAGTATTCAACCCCCTGAGTCAATACATGTTAGAATCACCTTTGGCAGCGATTGCAGCTGTGAGTGTTTCTGGGTAAGTCTCTACCGTGTATATTTGGCCTTACGCTTTAGGTTATTGTCTTGCTGAAAGGTGGATTTGTCCTCCCAGTGTCTGTTGGAAACCAGACTGAACCAGGTTTTCCTCTGGGACTTTGCCTGTGCTTAGCTCTATTCCTTTTATTTTTATCCCCAAAAAAAACCACCTAGTCCTTGCTGATGACAAGCATACCCATAACATGATGTAGCCACCACCATGCTTGAAAATATGTAGAATGGTACTCAGTGATGTGTTATGTTGATTTTGCCCCGAAATAATGCTTTGTATTCGGGACGAAAAGTTAATTTCTTTGCTACATTTTTTGCAGTATCACTTTAGTGCTTTATTGCAAACAGGATGCATATTTTGGAATATTTGTATTCTGTCGGGCTTCCTTCTTTTCACTCATTTAGGTTAGTATTGTGGAGTAACTACAATGTTGTTGATCCATCCTCAGATTTTTCCTATCACATCCATTTAACTCTGTAACTGGTTTACACTGGCCCTGTGTAGCTCAGTTGGTAGAGCATGGCGCTTGCAACGCCAGGGTTGTGGGTTCGATTCCCACAGGGGGCCAGTATGAAAATGTATGCACTCACTAACTGTAAGTCGCTCTGGATAAGAGCGTCTGCTAAATGACAAAAATGTAAAATTAATCAGACAGCAGCCAGTGGTCCCAAGAATATAAGCAAACGCATGACCAGGACAAAATAACGAAGTGGATGTGAGTTTGTATGTGAAAGTGCAATGCAGATTAGTAAATACTTTGTAGTAGTTCCCTGTAGCTCAGTTGGTAGAGCATGGCGCTTGCAACGCCAGGGTTGTGGGTTCGTTTCCCACGGGGGGCCAGTATGAAAATGTATGCACTCACTACCTGTAAGTCGCTCTGGATAAGAGCGTCTGCTAAATGACTAAAATGTAAATGTAAAATGTTTAAAATCACCATTGGCCTCATGGTGAAATCCTTGAGCGATTTCCTTCCTCTCCGTCAACTGAGTTGGGAAGGACGCCTGTATCTTTGTAGTGACTGGGTGGATTGATACACCATCCAAAGTGTAATGAATAACTTCACAATGCTCAAAGGGATATTCAATGTCCCTTTTTTTTACCCATCTACCAATAGGTCCCCTTCTTTGCTAGGCATTGGAAAAACCTCCCTGGTCTTTGTTGAATCTGTGCTTGAAATTCACTGCTCGACTGAGGGACCTTACTGTGGTATACAGAGATGGGGTAGTCATTCAAAAATCATGGTAAACACCATTATTGCACAGAGTTAGTCCCTTCAACTTATCTGACTTGTTAAGCAAATTGTTACGCCTGAAATTATTGAGGCTTGCCATAACAAAGGGGTTGAATACTTATTGACTCAAGACATTTCAGCTTTTTATTTTTTATAAATTTGTAAAAAGTTCTAAAAACATAATTCCGCTTTGACATTATGGGGTATTGTGTGTAGATCAGTGACACAATCAACATGTAATCAATTTTAAATTCAGACTCTAACACAACAAAATGTGGAAAAAGTCAAGGGGTGTGAATACTTTCAGAAGGCACTGTAGATATGTCAATCATCTAACAGCAGCATTTTTATTTTTAGCGAAAACCTGAAAAAACTGGGGGAAACAGAAACCTGGAAAAACAACAAAATGGGATTTGTGGAAAAAACGAAACGGAATCCGGCAAAAAATATGAAACCGATTTTATAGGGACCTACTACTAGTGGTGTATCCTCTGTGTCTGAATGGGGGTTATAGTAGCCCGTTGGTTGTCTGGCTGTTGACTCGTCCTTTAGTTCTCTTTCGGTTGTTTCTCTGTGTCGTCCTGGTGGTGTGAGATCGGGGGTGACAGACAGCCACAGAACATCTCAGGACGAATGGGACTGCTGCCAACTGTCTGGGACAGGGGGAACCTGTGTGTAGGATAGTGTACGTGCGTCCGAGAGCGAGTGTTTTGCCTGTACACAAATGTGCAGTAAATTTGTGTGGTTGTGTGTGTCTGCACCCCTTGAAAGCCTGTGTGTCTCTGGTGTAGGCGTGTGTCTCTGAGTCGTGACAGTAACACAGAACTGTGAGCAGTGTGTGAGAGAGGTCTGTCTGTGAAAACTGGGTGCAACAGGCCCGCGCCACAGAAGATATGAACTGGTTTTCATTAGTGCTGAAGTGCGTGTCTGCTTCGGCTCACGGAACAGGCCCTGAGCCCTAGTGTAAAGTCTCCTCTGGTGGACGTGGTTCTTATACTGTCTAATAGAAAAACTGTGAAACAGCGTTGATAGAAAGCACACACACCCTCTCTCTTCTTGCTCGTAGAACATACAGTATATCTAACCTATCTATAAGGGATAACATTGCCTCATAACATTTAGTACAATGGACCCATTTGTTTTCCATTTCCATATCTGATTATTTGAACGATCTGTTTTGGTTTTCTTTTGTTTGTCACTTAATTCAATATCTGACTATTCACCTATAACATATAGTCTTGATCTCCTTCATAGATCTCCTTCATATTAATAATTCTCATGTGAGGGACCTTTCTGCAATAAGACCGTGGTGACTGTCATTTCTAGAGACTATAAATAGTATGATAAATTAGCTGACAAAATGTCAGTGTTTTTCCTCCATCCTGTTCAGTGTGCATGTGGTTGGTTGTGTAGTGGCCAGATAGAAGTAGCATGTTCTATTGTAGTCCATGTTTAGGCTTCTATTGTAGTCCATGTTGAGGCTTCTATTGTAGTCCACGTTGAGGGTTCTATACATACAGTGGGGAGAACAAGTATTTGATACACTGCCGATTTTTGCAGGTTTTCCTACTTACAAAGCATGTAGAGGTCTGTAATTTTTATCATAGGTACACTTCAACTGTGAGATGGAAAAAAAAATCCAGAAAATCACATTGTATGATTTTTAAGTAATTCATTTGCATTTTATTGCATGACATAAGTATTTGATACATCAGAAAAGCAGAACTTAATATTTGGTACATAAACCTTTGTTTGCAATTACAGAGATCATACTTTCCTGTAGGTCTTGACCAGGTTTGCACACATTGCAGCAGGGATTTTTGCCCACTCCTCCATACAGACCTTCTCCAGATCCTTCAGGTTTCGGGGCTGTCGCTGGGCAATACAGACTTTCAGCTCCCTCCAAAAATGTTCTATTGGGTTCAGGTCTGGAGACTGGCTAGGCCACTCCAGGACCTTGAGTTGCTTCTAATGGAGCCACTCCTTAGTTGCCCTGGCTGTGTGTTTCGGGTCATTGTCATGCTGGAAGACCCAGCCACGACCCATCTTCAATGCTCTTACTGAGGGAAGGAGGTTGTTGGCCAAGATCTCGCGATACATGGCCCCATCCATCCTCCTCTCAATACGGTGCAGTCGTCCTGTCCCCTTTGCAGAAAAGCATCCACAAAGAATTTCCACCTCCATGCTTCACGGTTGGGATGGTGTTCTTGGGGTTGTACTCATCCTTCTTCTTCCTCCAAACACGGCGAGTGGAGTTTAGACCAAAAAGCTCTATTTTTGTCTCATCAGACCACATGACCTTCTCCCATTCCTCCTCTGGATCATCCAGATGGTCATTGGCAAACTTCAGACAGGCCTGGACATGCGCTAGCTTGAGCAGGGGGACCTTGAGTGCGCTGCAGGATTTTAATCCATGACGGCGTAGTGTGTTACTAATGGTTTTCTTTGAGACTGTGGTCCCAGCTCTCTTCAGGTCATTGACCAGGTCCTGCCGTGTAGTTCTGGGCTGATCCCTCACCTTCCTCATGATCATTGATGCCCCACGAGGTGAGATCTTGCATGGAGCCCCAGACTGAGGGTGATTGACCGTCATCTTGAACTTCTTCCATTTTCTAATAATTGCGCCAACAGTTGTTGCCTTCTCACCAAGCTGCTTGCCTATTGTCCTGTAGCCCATCCCAGCCTTGTGCAGGTCTACAATTTTATCCCTGATGTCCTTACACAGCTCTCTGGTCTTGGCCATTGTGGAGAGGTTGGAGTCTGTTTGATTGAGTGTGTGGACAGGTGTCTTGTATACAGGTAACGAGTTCAAACAGGTGCAGTCAATACAGGTAATGAGTGGAGAACAGGAGGGCTTCTTAAAGAAAAACGACCAGGTCTGTGAGAGCCGGAATTCTTACTGGTTGGTAGGTGATCAAATACTTATGTCATGCAATAAAATGCAAATGAATTACTTAAAAATCATACAATGTGATTTTCTGGATTTTTGTTTTAGATTCCGTCTCTCACAGTTGAAGTATACCTATGATACAAATTACAGACCTCTACATGCTTTGTAAGTAGGAAAACCTGCAAAATCGGCAGTGTATCAAATACTTGTTCTCCCCACTGTAGGTGTTTTATAGGTGGGTTTATATGAGGTTTCGTCCTTCAAGGGAGGGCAGCATTGGAAGTGTGTCACTGAAGTAAGCATTTCACTGTTAGTCTACACCTGTTTTACGAATTATGTGATAAATAAAATAAAACAACAATTGTTGATGTCATGGTAACATCAGAATAGCATGGCTTTTATTGTGCAGGCCTTGTCTGATGACTGAGCCACAGAGTTAGTATTTCAGCACTTTGGACATTGTGTGACTCCATTTTGATTGATTGATTTGGGTTTATTTTGGATATGAAGAGAAGGTGGTCTTACGTTGGGCCTAGGGGAAGACAGAATACAGGTACAAAGTTTGGCTTGTGTAAAATAATCCATTCCCAGTGTGTTCATCAGTGGACACAGACATGTATATTTTATTTGGCATGATGAGTGACCCTGACCTGTGACTCCTGGCCTTTGCCCTGTAGGGATGGAGTTCCCTGTGGACGTGTTGGGTTCAGTGAGGCAAGAGGAGGAGGAGCAGGCAGCAGAGGGCTACATGACCCGGCTACGATACGTCAGCCCCAACAAGACCGAGAGCTTTACCCTGCCCAGCCACAGAAAGGTACACACACACACACACACACACACACACACACACTGTTAGTTTAGTCAACTCTAACCCCATGTCACTCTTTCTCTCTCTCCCCCTCTCAGATCTGTATCGGTTTGTGTAACGTTGGTTTTGTTCCCATCTATGGAGGAGACCTGAAGCACAAGATTCTGGCCCTGTTCGCCCCAGATGATCAGCTCACAGGTACACACAACACTACACCCGCCCACCACCCCATCCCTAGCCCCCTGTCCCTATCCGTTGACACAGTCACAGTGTAAGCTGGTAGTTTCCACCGCATAGATACTGTAGGTGTAAGCTATTTTATTTGAAACTACCAGTATATACACATCAGATCCCTTCAGATCTACTAGAGTTTAGGGTAGGGTCTGGGGGCTTATATTTCGTACAACATACATTTGGATTCTAACCATAGATCATACTCCTCTAACTCTAATTCTCAATGTCACTCCCTTTCCCCTCCCCCTCTCTCTCTCCAGCGGTAGCTCTGTTCCTGGCAGGACAGTGGTGGTCAGTAGAGGACGTCCTCAGAACCTCAAACCCTTCCAGAACTGGCCTGGTCAAGGTACATACACACACACACTGCAACACATACAACACAAGATGATTGTTGATTTGACAAATCGAGAAACGTGAAGCTAGCACATTGAAACACACAAACACACTCTGTGGAGGTAGGATATGGTAGGATATTGGGTTTGTGTCTGGTGTGAGGAGAAGCTCTGAATCTGACACGATATGAGAGGACACACAGGATTAGGGCTGTCCCCGACCCAAAAAAATGTTGGTCGACCGAAAGTCGTCTGTTCTTTCAACCACATTTATTTGCGTGTATTTTTCCTTATATAGACCCACCCTATGTGTTTTTAATAAAATCAACTATAGGCCTATGTATTGAGATTGTTTGATGAAATAAGACACAAATGACTCAAGAGGGAGCCAGAGATCAAGATAACCAGAAGAAAAAAAAACTTTACCTGACTTGACCATCCTCCTCCCGCTCCTGCTGGCTTTTACAGATTCTGCTTTTACTCTCCTGAAGTTGCCGGTAATCGGCTACACGAGGAGTCGGCAACCTTTCTCATGTGGAATGCCAATTTATCTTACAATTTCTACCGATCTGCGTGCCAGGTATGGTTTTCATATGCACATTTTAGTGGAACGGTTTCATTTAAATTTATAATAACATTTTCGTATCTCAAAATCATTGACATGTGGTTAATCAAAATTCTATCCAAATGAAATGAATGATACAAACCTAAAAAGTAACTTATATTGCCATTGCCAACTATGGAAAAATAGCCTACATAAAGCCAACAAAATAAAAACATTGCAGCATTGGCTACACGTGGACTGTCTGCAACAAACTTGAAACATTGTATCAACTTGGGTCCGGGCCTGAAGCTTGCCCTAGCGAACTTGCAACATTGTATAAAACTGTTTCCTGTGGGACAGACACAGCTGTAGGCTATTTGCGCAAGGGATAAGAAATCATAAAGTAGGCCTATTTTATGATGTTTCCACTGGATCAGAGCATGACATTCTTCCCTTTCACGCTGAGTGGTTATCAAAAGGGAGAGAACTTGAAAGATTTTTCAAATACATTGAGGAACTATTGTCATTCTTAATAGATGTAAAAACAGACTTAGTTTGCTTTCTGTTTGAGGTGAAGAAAACATTACTTTGAGAAGCTCCACAGCTCATTAGTGGTGGTGCGTTAAGCCAATCAGAAATACTATCAGATCCCCAAATAAGCACATTTATATGCCTACATTTGTGTGCAGGCCAGGTAGCCTATAGGCCTACTTCTATCCGTAATCAGGTGCGTGTCCTTAATTAATTGACAGGAGCGCTTCAAACAAAAGACGATGACTAAATTGACAAAGCTCGTACAGTGCATTCGGAAAGTATTCAGACCCCTTGACTTTTTCCACATTTTCTTACATTACAGCCTTATTCTAAAATTGATGAAATCGTTTTTCCCCTCATCAATCTATACACAATACCCCATAATGACAAACCAAACAGGTTTTTAGAAATGTAAAAATAAAAATGAAATAGTATTAAGATCCTTTACTCAGTAATTTGTTGAAGCACCTTTGGCAGCGATTAAAGCCTCCAAGTCTTCTTGGGTATGATGCTACAAGCTTGGCACACCTGTATTTGGGGAGTTTCTCCCATTCTTCTCTGCAGATCCTCTCAAGCTCTGTCAGGTTGGATGGGGAGCCTCGATGCACAGCTATTTTCAGGTCTCTTCAGAGATGTTTGATCGGGTTCAAGACCGGGCTCTGGCTGGGCCACTCAAGGTCATTCAGAGACTTGTCCCAAAGCCACTCCTGCATTGTCTTGGCTGTGTGCTTAGGGTCGTTGTCCTGTTGGAAGATGAACCTTACATTTTAGTCATTTAGCAGACGCTCTTATCCAGAGTGACTTACAGTTAGTGAGTGCATAAATCTTTCATACTGGCCCCCCGTGGGAATCAAACCCACAACCCTGGTGTTGCAAGCGCCATGCTCTACCAACTGAGCTACAGGAGGCCTGTCTGAGGTCCTGAGTGCTCTGGAGCAGGATTTCATCAAGGATCTCTCAGTACTTTGCTGCGTTCATCTTTCCCTCGATCCTGACTAGTATCACAGTCCCTGCCGCTGAAAGACATACCCACAGCATGATGCTGCCACCACAATGCTTCACTGTAGGGATGCTGCCAGGTTTCCTCCAGACGTGACGCTTGGCATTCAGGCCAAAGAGTTCAATCTTGGTTTCATCAGACTAGAGAATCTTTAGGTGTCTTTTGGCAAACTCCAAGCGTGCTGTCATGTGCCTTATACTGAGGAGTGGCTTCTATCTGGCCACTCTACCATAAAAGCCAGATTGGTGGAGTACTGCAGAGATGGTTGTCCTTCTGGAAGGTTCTCCCATCTCCACAGAGGAACTCTGGAGCTCTGTCAGAGTGACCATCGGGTTCTTGGTCACCTCCCTGAGTGACCATCGGGTTCTTGGTCACCTCCCTTACCAAGGCCCTTCTCGCTCAGTTTGGCCGGGGGGGGGGCAGATCTAGGAAGAGTCTTGGTGGTCCCAAACGTCTTCCATTTAAGAATGATGGAGGCCACTGTGTTCTTGGGGATCTTCAATGCTGCAGAAATTTGTTGGTACCATTCCCCAGATCTGTGCCTCGATACAATCCTGTTTCGGAGCACTACGGACAATTCCTTCGCCCTCATGGCTTGGTTTTTGTTCTGACATGCACTGTCAACTGTGGGACCTTTATATAGACAGGTGTGTGACTTTCCAAATCATGTCCAATCAATTGAATTTACCACAGGTGGACTCCAATCAAGTTGTAGAAACATCAAGGATGATCAATGGAAACAGGATGCACCTGAGCTCAATTTCGAGTCTCATAGTAAAGGGTCTGAATTCTTATGCAAATAACCTGTTTTTTTGCCTTGTCATTATGGGGTGTTGTGTGTAGATTGATGATTTTTATTTATTTAATCAATTTTAGAATAAGGCTGTAACGTAACAAAATATGGAAAAAGGGAAGGGGTCTGAATACTTTCTGAATGCACTGTAAATGGAATGAAATAAACCCAAACTTGTTTCTCATAAGCATAGGTTGTGCGCTCTGCAAACAACAGGTCCACTCCGACAATGAGAACGGTAAAAGACTGGAATAATAATGATAATATATTGAATGCATTAACAGACATTACCGTAACCAAACAAACATTATAAATTAGAAATTATAGGAATTCACGGGAAATGTACTACTGGTGATATATGTAATAGGGAATTGATAGACACTAACAATCAAACGCAAACAATTCACACAATTTAAGTTATGAAACAATGAATGTGCACAAATTGGCTTGAGAGAGAGCATTTTGGAGAGAGACTTGCATTGTGCATCTTGACCACACTCCCATTCTTCTTGGACTGTGCCATCCCGCGGCCTCTACAATGGATTAGTTCACTGAGATGGGCGCGAAACAGTCACGTGTCTTGTGTGCCATTAAAAAAATAAAATAATGCATATACATGCATGCTACTGCTCAACAACAACAAAATATCAGTCGACCAGCAGCCTATCGACCAAACAATCGATGGATAGCACACACACACACATTAGCCTGGGCATGTTTATCTACCCCATCAGATGCATAATGACATTGTTTTGAACAGAATGTCAAGCACTGCATGTGTATTGCATTTATGGTGTGTGTAGAGGACAGAGCACAATGACAGCATTCAGAACAAACTCATGGCTCTCTGCCTGGCTTTGCCCTGCAACTGGTTCTGATTAGCATGGAACAATGGAGAAACACACAGCGTGCATGTACACACACACACACACACACACACACACACTAGGGTTGGGCAAAATCAGCTTTGGTTCTGGCGTGATTCAGTACTTATAAAATCGCCAGTTAATGTTATCGCCCCCCGAGTGGCCAGCCCAATTTTTTAAACTAAAAACATTTGACAGACTTTATTGTAATATATGGGAAATACTCATAACTTTATCTTGTCTTTTTATGGTATTTCAATTAGTAGGATTAGTCTATGCTTTTGGCCGTTTGGTTTCGTAACGGCACAGAGGATTTCTTTTTTTATAATAGCCTAAGCTTTGCTCAACTGTAAGGTTTGTTCGAACTACTAGTTAGAACAAACAATAGCAAGATAGAAAATCTCTCTCATTATTACCTTAGGCCTACCTTGTTTTTTAAGGTTATTCAAAAACAACTGAAAACTTTCTGAGCCTACTAAAACTCAGTTCGATTAATTTAATTGTATAATCATGAAATAGCACGGCGGGAGAAATCCAGGGTGCATAAAACTGAAAGAGAAGCTTAATAGGTCAAGTAATATTCATATCAAATGGAGAGAAAATAGAAAGATGGGCTTTAATAACAATTAGACATAGGCTTTGGCTATTAGGCCCAGATCATCTGATAGTCGAGAGTGAAAACCCCCAAAAATTCTGACTGGACATTTTGTGCTGCTTTGGTGAAACTCTCGGCTCCGTCTACATTGTTCTTGTGCATTCTGTAAATAGTTTATAACATATTTGTGCACTGCCGAACTCCGCTCTTTACTGCAAGTTGCCAGTCAAGTTTAAATAGGCTTGGCTATTGTCTGTCACATCACGATGTCGTCACCATCGACAATGGCTGTCAATCATCCTCGATAGACGATGCTATCATAACCCTAAGAGACACACACAAGTTTGAAACTAGGAGCAGTGCACTGTTCAGGGCCTTGATTCAAACCCCACAGTTAAATGTTATTTCTATGTTTACAAGGGGTTGGCAGAGATATGAAGCAATAAAAACTGTCACTTAAACATTTTAGTGGGAGGTGAAAGACGACGATGCCACGTACTGAACCAAGTCCCTTCTGAATCGTGTGTCCTACTACAGTGTATGTACAGTTGAAGTCGGAAGTTTACATACACCTTAGCCAAATACATTTAAACTCAGTTTTTCACAATTCCTGACATTTAATCCTAGTAAATATTCCCTGTTTTAGGTCAGTTAAGATCACCACTTTTATTTTAAGAATGTGAAATGTCAGAATAATAGTAGAGAGAGATTTATTTCAGCTTTTATTTCTTTCATCACATTCCCAGTGGGTCAGAAGTTTACATACACTCAATTAGTATTTGGTAGCATTGCCTTTAAATTGTTTAACTTGGGTCAAACGTTTCGGGTAGCCTTCAACAAGCTTCCCACAATAAGTTGGGTGAATTTTGGCCCATTCCTCCTGACAGAGCTGGTGTAACTGAGTCAGGTTTGCAGGCCTCCTTGCTCGCATACGCTTTTTCTGGCCACACATTTACTATAGGATTGAAGTCAGGGCTTTGTGATGGCCACTCCAATACCTTGACTTTGTTGTCCTTAAGCCATTTTGCCACAACTTTGGAAGTATGCTTGGGGTCATTGTCCATTTGGAAAACCCATTTGCAACCAAGCTTTAACTTCATGACTGATGTCTTGAGATGTTGCTTCAATATATCCATCTAATTTTCCTTCCCCATGATACCATCTATTTTGTGAAGTGCACCAGTCCCTCCTGCAGCAAAGCACCCCCACAGCATGATGCTGCCACCCCCGTGCTTCACGGTTGGGATGGGGTTTTTCGGCTTGCAAGCCCCCCCTTTTTCCTCCAAACATAACGATGGTCATTATGGCAAAACATTTTTTTTTGTTTCATCAGACCAGAGGACATTTCTCCAAAAAGTACAATCTTTGTCCCCATGTGCAGTTGCAAACCGTAGTCTGGCTTTTTTATGGCGGTTTTGGAGCAGTGGCTTCTTCCTTGCTGAGCGACCTTTCAGGTTATGTCGATATAGGACTCGTTTTACTGTGGATATAGATACTTTTGTACCTGTTTCCTCCAGCATCTTCACAAGGTCCTTTGCTGCTGTTCTGGGATTGATTTGCACTTTTCGCAGCAAAGTACGTTCATCTCTAGGAGACAGAACGCGTCTCCTTCATGAGCGGTATGACGGCTGCGTGGTCCCATGGTGTTTAAACTTGCGTACTATTGTTTGTACAGATGAACGTGGTACCTTAAAGCGTTTGGACATTTCTCCCAAGGATGAACCAGACTTGTGGAGGTCTACCATTTTTTTTCTGAGGTCTTGGCTGATTTCTTTTGATTTTCCCATGATGTCAAGCAAAGAGGCACTGAGTTTGAAGGTAGGCCTTGAAATACATGCACAGGTACACCCAATTATGTCAATTAGCCTATCAGAAGCTTCTAAAGCCATGACATCATTTTCTGGAATTTTCCAAGCTGTTTAAAGGCACAGTCAACTTAGTGTATGTAAACTTCTGACCCACTGGAATTGTGATACAGTGAAATAATCTGTCTGTAAACAATTGTTGGTAAAATTACTTGTCATGCACAAAGTAGATGTCCTAACCGACTTGCCAAAACTATAGTTTTAACAAGAAATGTGTGGAGTGGTTGAAAAACGAGTTTTAATGACTCCAACCTAAGTGTATGTAAACGTCCGACTTCAACTGTAGATTGAGCAGTGAGGAAAGTATGTGTTTGTGCGTTGAGTGTTGCCGGTGAAAACTCCTGGGGAGAGGTGGTGTGTGTGTGTGTGTGTGTTACCTTTAACATTTTGTTAAGTCAAATAAATAAAATAAAATGTTATTGGCCACATGCGCCGAATACAACAGGTGCAGACATTACAGTGAAATGCTTACTTACAGCCCTTAAACAACAGTGCATTTATTTTTAATAAAAAAAGTAGACAAAAAGTGTTGAGGAAAAAAAGAGCAGAAGTAAAATAAAATAACAGTAGGGAGGCTATATATACAGGGGGGTACCGGTGCAGAGTCAATGTGCGGGGACACCGGCTAGTTGAGGTAGTTGAAGTAATATGTACATGTGGGTAGAGTTAAAGTGACTATGCATAAATAATTAACAGAGTAGCAGCAGCGTAAAATGATGGGGTGGGGGAGGGGGGGCAGTGCAAATAGCCCGGGTAACCATGATTAGCTGTTTAGGAGTCTTATGGCTTGGGGGTAGAAGCTGTTGAGAAGTCTTTTGGACCTAGACTTGGCACTCCGGTACCGCTTGCCGTGCGGTAGCAGAGAGAACAGTCTATGACTAGGGTGGCTGGAGTCTTTGACAATTGAGGGCCTTCCTCTGACACCGCCTGGTATAGAGGTCCTGGATGGCAGGAAGCTTGGCCCCAGTGATGTACTGGGCCGTACGCACTACCCTCTGTAGTGCCTTACGGTCGGAGGCCAAGCAGTTGCCATACCAGGCGGTGATGCAACCAGTCAGGATGCTCTCGATGGTGCAGCTGTAGAATTTTTTGAGGATCTGAGGACCCATGCCAAATCTCAACCTGTTCCACCACAGCCCCGTCGATGAGAATGGGGTCGTGCTCAGTCCTCTTTTTTTTTCCCCTGTAGTCCACAATCATCTCCTTTGTCTTGGTCACGTTGAGGGAGAGGTTGTTATCCTGGCACCACATGGCCAGGTCTCTGACCTTCTCCCTATAGGCTGTCTCATCGTTGTCGGTGATCAGGCCTACCACTGTTGTCATCTGCAAACTTAATGATGGTGTTGGAGTCGTGCCTGGCCATGCAGTCATGGGTGAACAGGGAGTACAGGAGGGGACTGAGCACGCACCCCTGAGGGGCCCCCGTGTTGAGGATCAGTGTGGCAGATGTGTTGATACCTACCCTTACCACCTGGGGGCGGCCCGTCAGGAAGTCCAGGATCCAGTTGCAGAGGGAGGTGTTTAGTCCCAGATTCCTTAGCTTAGTGATGAGCTTTGAGGGCACTATGGTGTTGAATGCTGAGCTGTAGTCAATTAATAGCATTCTCACATAGGTGTTCCTCTTGTCCAGGTGGGAAAGGGCAGTGTGGAGTGCAATAGAGATTGCATCATCTGTGGATCTGTTGGGGCGGTATGCAAATTGGAGTGGGTCTAGGGTTTCTGGGATAATGGTGTTGATGTGAGCCATGACCTGCCTTTCAAAGCACTTCATGGCTACAGACATTCTGTCTGTGTGTCCCCCAGGTGAGGAGTCTTGGTGAGCGGATCGTCCTGTACATTCTGAACCGTATCGTGTACCGCGTGGGTGAGATGGACAAACCTGAGGTGCCCTTCCTGTGCCACGGCCAGCACGACTTCGCCAAGCTCCTCTGGAAGGATGGAAACGCCGTCGGGTTCTACTCAGTCAAACCCAAAGGTGAGCTGTCTCTGTCTGGTCAAACTGTCATCTTTTGTTTAAACCCAAACTGCGGTGAAGTTAGCTAGTTAGTGAAGACTGGGCAGTACCCCAACTTACACAAGGCTATCCATTACCCTCAACCTCCTGAAGATGATTTCTATAATGGCCAAGAGGTAGACTTTTTATAGTATACCAAAAATATAGTAGCACATAGTTTTAATGTTCAGTATTTCTGGTACAAAGTATCATTCCCTGTGTTTAAACTGTTTTCAGTTTTGCTCAGTGAAGACACAGGACCACTGTAGAGCAGAGCAGGTCATCCTAGTACAACCGATGAGCCGGAATTAATTTAATTTGTTCAAAGTTTTTTCATTAGATCCACATTGAGACAGGCAGATCGTTTTTCCACTTTTGTTTGACTTTGTAATGTTCTCTAATCGGGGAAATGTTCCAGCAGTGTATGAATTCAGACTTCAGTTTTGATCTCTTGCCATGTATCTTGTTTGATTATCCTGCGTTTTATGACAATCAATCATGTATCAATCAATTACAGCATACCTTACAGACATTAACTAACAGTAAATCTCTCTTCCTCTCACTCTCCAGACAGCTTATGTAATAATTTTGTGACCCAGCGCTACCAGCTTCCTGTCATGAACTCCATCTTTGTCAGGAAGTGTCACCGTGGAAAAGGTCATGGCCTGCAGATGCTGGAGGACTTTGTGGACTCTTTCAAAGACAACCAGCTCGGCCTGAAGTACCCTCTCTCTCTAACCATGTATAAAGGTTAGTAGTAGGAGTAGTACTCTCTTTCTCTAACCATGTATAAAGGTTAGTAGTACTCTTGTGCTCTAATTATGTGTTACGAACCCCGTGGCTTTAAACGTCTAGGGTGATGGACATGAGACCCGTAACATAATTCATGCAAATTATAAGTGTGACATGGAACAGTGAGAACGAAAAACTACACGACAACCATAAACTACCGTCAAACATAAAAGGTTTATTGCTGAACACACGGTAAAGGTTTTGGGAAAAAGGGCTGAGCAGGACCCAAGAAATGAAACAATAGTGTAAAACACACCTAAACTGATCTTGCCTGCCTCAAGAACCGCTAAGCTACTGCTAGTCATACAAAAGTACAGTGGGTGGTCCGCTCAGGTCTAACTAGTGTTTTTAGACAGATTTCTTCCTACGGGTAACGTACGCCCAAGGGCAACTTGCTTAAACTCCCCTTTTCCCAGAAACACACAAAGTTACCAAACAGAGTAATCAGCAAATTAGTGAGTACACAATACACATGATACCACAGTACTCCATACTCACATACGGAAATAGTCTCTAACAAAATTACCAAACAGAGTAGCCAAACTTAGTGAGTACACAATACACAGGATACCACAGTATCCATACTCACATATGGAAACAGTCTTTCTCTCTCACAACAAACATAACTGACTGGTTTTTAAACAATGGGATGTGTGATTGAAAAACCAGCAACAGGTGGTGCCATGCAGAGGAATGTTCACTGATTGGTCCACCTTAGCAATCAGCAGACATCTCAACGACCACCAATCAGGAACATACAGGACACCTGTGATTAGGGCAGAAGGAGAGGAAAACACAGGACACAGGATACCTGTATCCGTAACATTATGTATAAAGGTTTGTAGTAGTACCCTATCTCTCTACTCCTCTCTACTGTACTCTAGAACTGTACAACTTTCCATCTCCAAAATAAATGAATAAATCAGTCAATCAAAGTGTATCATCTCTCCCTGACCTGCAGTGTGTGGCCAGTACCTGTGTCGGTACCCAGCTGACCAGGATCTGCTGTGGGTGGTAGAGGGAGTGGGAGGACTCTACCAGAGAGAGAATGTGGCCAGCAAGATCAAAGCCCTAGCACTGAAAGGTACTGGCACAGTAGCATGAGGTATACAGGGATGCACTTTCAACACCATGCTCTAACACCAACGGCCTGTTCAGCAAGATGTAACGTTACAGTACCTTCAGATAGAAATGTGTTATGTAGAACTGATATGATTGTCATGTAGAATAGGGAATCGCGACGACAGCTCTATTCATTACATTTCTATCTGCGACCTCCCTGAAATACAACCCAGCTGATCCATCGGGACCATAGCAGGATGATAGCATGAGACCCAGATTAGATCCTCTATAATGTGGGCTGGGGACTTGGTGACATCAGACAGACAGTGGTCAGACTCACATGACCGGTAGCTAATTGACTTATGATTGTTCTGCTGATTCCCATAAAGTGGTGCTCCACGCGGTGGCGTCTAACGGAGACCAACGAGCTGCCTCTCTGGACCACACAGACATCATCATGGAGGAGGAGGAGGAGGACAACTTTCTGGACATCACCGTACGTCTCTAGCTCTCCCGGTCTCTCTCTCTATCCAACTTGGTCTCTTGTTGTTTCTTTCTTTCCTTTTTTAGCTCCTCCTTTGCTATGCTTTCTTTTCTTGGGTCTCCTCCTCAGTCTCTCGTCTCCTCGAACAGCTCTTTGGATGTATTTGTTGTTTATAATTTAAGAATATCTTCAACCCTCAGTTCTTTACTGTAGGGTCAATATAATCAAGTAATGAAGAGTTGATTTGGTCTTGATTTCTTGTTCTTGTGTTCTAGGAGGATCTTTTGGTGGCAAATAAGCCTCTCAAGTTAATAGAAGGTAAGTAGCTCAGAAGTCTTTAGGATCTCCATGGAGTCCTGAAATTAATAACGAATGAGAAAATGTTGGATTTTCTGAATACAGAAATTGGCAAAAAAAAAAATTGAATACACATTGGAATGAAAATGGCTACTCTTTCTCTAGCCCTGGATGGTACACCAGTGTCAACGCGTATCAGGAGTAGCGGACATAAAAAGCATGGCAGAGAAGAGACGGAAGACTCCACAGAGGAGAGCCAGCCTCTGAAGATGAACAGGTTAGAGAAGGAGTCTCAGTGAAATAGAAACCTATATCAAAGTATTAATGAAATGTGTATAATTCAATGTATACAGTCTTTTTTCCAGGGCAGTAGTGCTCCTTAATTCACGTAAATTCAGTGACTGTTTTTTACTCCTCAGACAACTGTCAATCAATAGACTCCTACCCATAGTATTTTCAACACTGAAATGTGTCCTTTCTTTCAGGTTGTAACCCAACCTTTACATGGTTTTCAAGTATGAATGCTTCCCTTTGGCTCTAAATCATAATACCCCTGGTCTATTGTGCGTTTAGATTGGAGGATGCAAAGGCAGAGCCCACCACTACGGCTGTAGATGAGGATGAAGGAAGAGCAGGAGAGGCAGAGGCTGCTGTCTGTGGCCTCTGTAGAGGAGGAGGACACCAAAGCTCAGGTGAGAGGATGGGGGAGGTGATCAGTAGGAATACAGCATTAGAAAACAACAGTTAATTTGGCTGTTCTGTTTTGCTTGTCATCATTGTGTTATGTTACTGTTAGAGAATAAGCAGTCACTATCATAGCTTATGTCACACTGGATGCGTCAGAAATGGCACTCTATTCCCTATGGTGCCTGGTCAAAAACAGTGCACTATATAGTGAATAGGGTGCCATTACAGACAACATTGATTTAGGCTTTAACTCTATTAGCCCATAGAAACACATTGAATAACAGATTCATACATGGGAAAAACTGAAGGAAGTTTGTTTTGATGTGCCTGGCCTATATCTGAGAGATGTAAGAAAGATCAGATTTCTTTTTTATATGACACGTATTTAACACTTTTTTTAGGCACTAAACTACTTCCATATATACTTCCATAATTGTTTTAAAGGGGAGGCTTGTGAGGCTTGTGGACATTCTAGAGCAAAACAGAAGTTGGCAGATCGGCGGTATTGATTTCAGACGAGTCCCGTAACGCTTGTGCAAAACCACTGACATGTTCGTGAGAGTTTCACCTTTCCATAGGGTGGTCATAGTAGTTTGTAGGCCAAACCGTTTGGACGCTACAGACGTTTTCGCGAGGAGACCGATTTTCGGGATGTCTCATGGTCTGACAAACACAGATGTACCGGATGCGGAAGGCCGATATTGACGGATGCGTTGGATCGAGACGCAAAAAAACTCTAGCTTAAACACAGATTTTTATGATGATTTTTGTATTATGCAATTTGATTTTCGCAGGGCTGCGATTAATTAACGAAAGTAGCCGTTAACCATTGGTTGGGGCTCTTCACTCCTCAGGAGGTGGAGGAGATGAACGGAGAACTGACTGATGACCAGAGAGAGGAGGTAAAGGATGGAGTGGAGGAGGAGGAAAAGGAGGAGGGGGGAGAGGCTGTGCTAGAGAACAGAACGACAGAGGAAGACGTGGAAATGAAGGACGACGAGGAGGAGGAGGAGGAGGCGGCGAAGGAGGAAGAGTCCATCGAGGCTGAAGTATGTGGTTCAATTACTCAGGAGGATTAACCTTGTATGACAGTTGGAATGTGTGGGATGGGGCCATTATTGGAGCAAGGGGATCACAGATGAGATGGAAAGTTCATTTCTGTACTGTGGACATGTTTATTTCTATAGTGTGCGTTAGAAAGGGAATTGGGTAGTATGTTTAACAAATGCACATTTTTCTGTCCTTTTGTCCTCTGCAGGACATAGTAGAAGCTGAAGCTGTGGTGGAGGAGGAACTGGAGGAGGTTCCTCTCCCGTTAGTAGAAGAACCAGCCTATGCTCCAGAGGAGGCCCCCTCGCCTGCAGAACCATCCTCAGCAGAGCCCTCCATCTCTGGGGATGTGAGTGAGAAGGCAGGGGTGGAACCTCCAGCACCTTCAGAGGAGGCCGCAGCTACACCCATGGAAGAAGGAGAGGAGGTAGAGGGAGAAAAGGAGGAGGCGGAGAAAGCAGTGGATTTGTACTGTGGACGTGTTTCTTTCTACAGTATGTGTTAGAAAGGGAATTGGGCTATATGTTTTTCACAACTGCATGTTTTTCTTTCTTTTTGTCCTATGCAGGACACCGTAGTAGCAGCTCCTGTGGCGTCAGAGGGGTTGGCTGAAGCTGTGGTGGAGGAGGAACTGGAGGAGGAGGTTTCTCTACCATTAGTAGAAGAACCAGCCTATGCTCCAGAGGAGGCCCCCTCGCCTGCAGAGCCAGCCCAAGCAGATCCCTCCATCTCTGGGGAGGTGAGTGAGGAGGCAGGGAGGGAACCTGCTGCGCCTCTAGAGGAGGCCGCAGCTACACCCATGGAAGAAGGAGAGGAGGTAAAGGGAGAAAAGGAGGAGGCTACGGAGAAAGCAGTGGAGGAACCAGAGGTAGAGGAGAAATCCATGGAGGAGGCCATTGCGGTGGACAGCAGTAGCCAGGAAACTGTGGTCCAGGTGGGGGTAGCAGACCTGTCCTACCAGCCTCCGGAGGAAGGAGAGGAGGAGGAGGAGGCGGCGAAGGAAGAGGTCCTGGTCGAGGAGGACCAAAATAAAGGGATAGAGGAGATGGAGAATGCTACCAGTACAGCGGATGAGAAAGAGGAGTTGGAGGAGGGAAGTGAGAGCTCAGACGAGGGTGGCAAGGTTCAGGCCCTTTGGAGGAGAGGTAGTGGCAGTGGCCTGGCGGAGCCTAAACGTAAATCTACGAGACTCAGCAGAGTGGTCATCGAGCCCGAGGAGCAGGACAGGGAGCAGCCGGAGGTCACAGAGGAAGAGGAGGAGAAAGCTACAACTACAGAGGAGGAAGAGGAGGCTGTAGAGAAGGGTTCGGCTGAGGTGGAAGAGGAGCAGCCACCAGTGATTGACCAGAGGGCATTGAGAAGGAAGAGCAGACCGGTCCAGACTCCAAATAAAGCCAGAGGGAAACGACACAGCAAGATCTAAACATACACCAGAAGGAGCACAACACACACACACACACAAGGTGATGTTTTCTATCTGGCTTTAGGGTTTGTAAGGGGTATAAAGTTTACTTGTATTATCTCAGTATGATGTTGTTTAGATGGGTTTACTTTAGGTAGTTCATCTTTTACAGAAAATGATGAAAAAAGTTTTTGTACAGGAAAATTCAATACTCGCTGTTGTAATAAGTCAATGGGAAGTCTTTTAATGTTCATATGTAATTGTATTCTTGTTTTTACTGCCTTGTTCTTTAGGAACTGACTGATATTGCGTTTAACAGGCTTGTTGTCGCGGTTGGAATGTGATTGTCATTCAAAGATTCACTATCAAGCCCAGTTCCATGTTCTCCAATAGCCTGGTCCCATAAGAGGTGCCGCTGTTATATTTATACTAGTTACAGTATTTAAATAGGTTGTGTCGAAACACCTCTTTAGTTCATAGTTCTTGCAGGAGTTATTTTATTAAAAAGTAATTGATGAAGTTTTGTTCCAATGAAAGCCAGCAAGACCCATTAGCTTTCGAAGACAATATGTAACTTGTATTAAGGAAGGAAACTTTCCAAAAATGCCTGCAGTTTTCTCTGTAGTGCACACCACCTAGCTATCTTATCTCTTGGAGTGATGAGATTATATTTTCGGATGCGCTGAAATACTTTTTATTTAGAAAAGCTGTGAATGAACGTCAATCATGATATTTAGGCACATACTCACACAGGCACGCACGCACTTGCATACAAAAACATGCACACATTTGCATATTGATATATACATAAATATATTTAGTGAATATACCCATAAACTGTATTTTGAATAGGAAGAATAGATTTGGACATTATTGATATTAATTTAGTAATAAAATAACGTTTCTATCATAGTTGTATTTCCCATGTATAATTTAAGATGGTAATTTAGACTTTATATTATAATTAATAGCATGTTTAATTGGATAAAAGATGTATATTACAATAACTGTTACAATGAAACATGTATATTACAATAACTAGATTATACCAGAATGTTGAAGTAAATGAGTTTATATACCATTGATATTTTTGATATAAACAGTTGTAAAATGGCACAACTTTCACTATTGGGAGAAAAATATTTGCTACCCAAGAAGAATATTTGCTACCCAAGTTAAGTTATTTCCACGTGAATTTTATGCTGTCATTGAGTGTCGATTCACTAGTAGAGGGTACATTGAGCCAAAGATGTGAAGCAGAATGCATCAAATGGGCTATTGATGTACCATGGTTATAGGTCAATATACAGACCCTACACTAGGGTCATATTCACAAGGCACCAAATGGAAGAAAACTGATTTAAACAGGGAGGGTCTACCTGAAAAACACTCCTTTTCATTTTCCGTTGCAAAATGTTTTGCTACGGTGTGAATTAATGAATATGACCCGTGTTAAGGTATTAGATGGCATTCCCCAGTGTTTATGAGATGGTTCTAGCCAGTTGCATTGACTGTAAAGGTGCTTTCCTCTGTATGGAAGGAAACCCGTTATAGCCTTGGCAGATCGTGTCAATGCAACTGTTTGATGTAAACCATATAAATATAATTAGTAATTGACTTGAATTGGGTTACCCCCATTCTAGTAATTCTGTTTCTATAATGTAAACCTCGATGTCAGAATGACACTCTTTCACAGATGGTGTTTTGGTGGACATGAGTTGGGGTTTCTCCCTACTACAAAAAAATCAGTAACGCTGCCTCTATTCATCCGTTGTTAATCAGTTGCCTTCATAACATCTATGTGAAAGGCAGAAATATCTATTTTTGTATGACTGATGTTTGTTCGCTATAGCTGGGTCCAGGTCATGTAAAAGACAAGCTACAGCGGACAATACCTGATGGAGCAGCTTCCTCTCCTCGTCTCTCCTTAATCTGCACTGATCTGAAAACTAGGGATAAGTGAAAGCAATATGGCAGAAACCTACCAGGGGATTTTGCTTTCACCTGTCCACTTCCAGATCAGTGCAGGGAAAGGAAAGGAGATGAGGATGCCACTCTATACTATTGAGATGCTCTCCATGTGTTTGTTGTGGAACTATCCGTTCTTTCAACCACTGCTATTCTTGTGGATGGATTCCATTAGTTCTGTTGCTACTGTATTTTGGTTCCCCCAACTCTTATTATGATGTCTTGAAACTCAAATGTACAGAATGTTACACAGCCATGTTAGTTCTGGTAGTTTTCTGTTTTAATGGATTCTGAATATGATGTAACAGTAGAGGGAGCCAGAGTAGGTGTCATTGAGCTACAGCATTAAGAATAGGACAGCCTGTCTTGGCCGTATTGTACCGTTTCAGATTTGGGTTGATAATGGAAGTCACCAGTTGGTGGCGCTCACATTCTGCCTAATTTGGCTGCTGTGGTTCCCACTGTGTTCTGTGTCTATGGTGGTTTTATACATGCTCCGTAGATATGTCTGACTGGGTTTGTGCTGGGGCCATCCAAAACTAAGGCTGGCTTACCCCAGGGCCGTGTTCAGTGGGTTGCAATGTTACTGAAGGCTCAGATAAAAAAATAGTTTGTTAGCCGGGTACAAGACACTCCTGTTTGCAACGTTCAGAACATTGCACCGTACCTCTACTCTAAATCAGCTATCTTATTGACCTCATTCACAACCAATAGCCAGAATATGGTAGGTTTTAGTCTGTCCTGAATGGCAAATTATGCCCTATATAGTGCACGCTTTTTGACCAAAAATAGTGCACTATAAAGGGAACAGGGTGCCATTTAGGATACACTGTTCTGTTGATTTGTTTGCACAGTAATGTGTACTGTTTGTGGTTGGAGAGATTAACAGTTTCAGCGTTGACACCTATGTTAGTCACATGTACTATCAGGGTCTCAATTCAAGAGATGAATCGAAATGAAATTAATTATTATTTTCCTATGATTTCAAAACAAAGAAAAATGTATGCCTTTTTTGAATGATCCATGCCTGTGTAAGGGACATTTTTCCCCAATGAGTTTTACAACAATTTCAAATAACCTCCTGAATTCACTGAGTTATAATAGATTACAACTCATTCCTGCATCTTGTCACTTCCACATAATCTGCCTCTTGTGATGTTACTGGATCTATCCTGTTTGTTTCTCAGCTATTTTATTACAGGCTACTGTTTATCTTATTAATATCTTACAGAATGTATTTCAACCTATGATTTCCTTGTAGTTAATAAAAATGTTTTTCTGAAATTACACTTTATTTGTTTGGTGTGTATCTAGCAGCCTGAGTGGCTTGACTGTAAAATCTCAGACTGGCAGCCAGACTTACCTTTTCCCCCCCTTAGTTTTTTATCGTATGCATGCATCATTTTATTGTATCTGTATATCAAATAAACCTCAGAGAGGCGTGTGTAAAAATCTGTGTGCCAGAGTGATGGCTCCAGATCTGTCTTGTCCCTGTAGTGTTGGAGCCACATCTCTCCGAGTGATCTCAACTCTGCTGCTTCTCCCCGCAGCCTGTCGTATTCCCCACTGGAGCACAGCCCTGTGTGTGTGTGTTTGCCATCAGATAAGTCCAGCAGAGCCTTATCGTCAGCTGTCTAGAGTGCAGCAGCGAGAGGGATGTGCGTGTATACCACAGGAGATTGATGGCACCTTAATTGGGGAGGATGGCTCATGGTAATGGCTGGAGCGGAATAGGTGGAATGGTATCAAACATGGTTTCCATGTGTTTGATGCAATTCCATTTCCTCCGTTCCAGCCATTATTATGAGCCATCCTCCCCTCAGCAGCCTCAACTGGTGTGTACGTGTGTGTGTTTGTGTGCGAGCCAGGCTGCTGGTCTTTTATGTGGCCGTTTGTCCTGTTTTATGTGTTCCTGCCTCTCCTCTATCCCTCTCTCCTCTACTCCTCTTCCCCCTCTCCCAGCCTCTCTCTTCATTGATGGTCTGGTGTGTGTAATTGATAGCACCATATTGCTGTGGTGTAGTTGGTTTAATGGGGCTTGACACAGTGAGGGAAAGCTGCATGCAGCCAGGGAGTGGACTTAACCCTTTCACCTACCACTGTATACACGTGTGTGCACACACACACACATTCTCTTCTTTCTTTCTCTTGTTTTCTCTCTCACCACACACACACACACCCATGATGGTAGTAACATCAGTGTTGATTTCTCATACTGTTATCAGTAGCCAGAAAAATAGTATATTAGGTGTGTGATTGAGCCACCGAGGCACCCCTCTCTCTCTCGTTCTCTCTCACTCATTCACTCACTCACTCTGACTCGAAGGGAACACAGTTCTTCCAGGCAGCGGTAGCTATTGCCCACTGTTTTGCTCGACTGAGTCTAAGTGCGTCTGACAAAGGTAAATGACTAGGAGTGTTTCCCAACCCGCTGTGGTGGTCTCGGCTGTAGTTCCGGCTCCGACCAGAAGGGGCCAATGTGGTTCCAAGGTCCCAGAACACAGCCCAGTGGTTAGTTAGCTTGGCTTCCCTCAGGCATCCACTCTGGCATTCAATATGTGATTATTTTATGTGTGGATTTCTCTGGCATACTGTAGGAGACTATCAATGGATAGGGAGTGTTATCCCACCCTTCCGCACACGCATATACAAACGCACGCACCATTAATCAATTGAGGCAATAAAATGACGCTATTGTGTAAGGCAAAGCAGACTGAGCATTAAAGAATGAAGGGGTCAAAACTATAGGATCACTAATGTATATCCTGTTCCCAGGTGACAGAGACCAGGGAGAGGCACTATTTTTAAGAGCTGATATCACACCACTGATATCACCTATTTTATCTCTTTCTGTGTGTGTGTGGGGGGGGTTGTTGGAAAGCTTTTCTTTGCCTTTTCATTCTCTAACGTCCTCTCTTTCTCTGGTATTCTTCTCTCCTTCACTGTGCTGTTCATTCTTTGTCCACATCTTCTCTGTAGATGTATTGCCCATCTCTCTCTTGCTGTCTGCTCTCTCCCTCCTCCCTCTCTCGATCGCCCTCCTTGCCAGGCAC